GAGGTTTTCTGCTCCCGTAAAGATTTACAGCCTCAGAAACCCTATACAGGGTCACTATGAGTCGGAACCAACTCCAAGGCACATAACAAAAACAAATCTTTATGGAGTTCTGGTGTGACACTTAACCACATGGTCAAAGGTTCAAACCCACCAGTTTTTCCACAGAAACCCTATATAAGCTCACTATGAATCAGAACCCATTCGATGGCACTAAATAACAATTGCTTTGTAATCCACTTTATTCCAGATCCTGGAGATATAATGATCAAAATGGACACCTCCTTGCTCTTAGTGCAGTCACAGCCCAGTGGAAACTGGAGCATCGACAAAACAATGCTACACATATAATATAGCGTAGTGGTTACAAATTGGGCCATGAACCTTAAGGTCAGTAGTTCGAAACTACCAGCCACTCCGCAGGAGAACGATGAGGCTTTCTGCTCCCTTAAAGACTTACAGCCTCGGAAACCCTGTATAGGGTCACTATGGGTCGGAACCAACTCAACAGCACTTAACAACAACAAAAACACACATATAAAGAAACAGAGATTTTGAGAATTTCTGTCACCCTTTCTCCTTCCTCCCCACCCTTGTTAGCCAATAATCATTTTGGTGGCACTCGTAGGATAAACACTGGACTGCGGATCAAACATACAGGCTGTTCCTTGGGAGAAAGGTGGTCTTTCTGCTCCTGTAAAAATTTATAGCCTCAGAAACCCTATATAGGTCACTATGAGTAAAGTCCTGGTGTGGTGCTATAGGGTAATCACTGAACTGCTAACCACAAGGTTGATGGTTCAAACCCATGAGCTGTTCCTTGCAAACCTTGTACAGGGTTGCTATGAGTCAGAATCAACTTGACGACACTTAACAAGTTTTGGTGAAGCACTGTAGGATAGGTAAGCACTGAACTGTTAATTGCAAAGTCAGGAATTCAAACCCAGTAGCCACTCCTCAGAAACCCTATACAGTGTTGCTATGAGTTGGAACTGACTTGATAGCATTTAGCAACAACAACATATATTTGCTTAAAGAGCCCTGGTGTTGATATGTATTGGGCTGCTAATCACAATGTCAATGATTGGTTCAAAACCACCAGCCATTCCTAGGGAAAAAGATGAGGCTATTTGCTCCCATCCACCACTCCTCTGTCAGTTTGTCATACTGTGATGGCTTGAGTGTTACTGTGATGCTAGAAGATATGCCTCCAGTATTTTAAATACCAGCAGGGTCACCCACGGTAGACAGGTTTCAGCTAAGCTTCCGGACTAAAATAGGAAAAAGGCAAGGGAGACTACTTCTGAATGTTTACCCACTGAAAACCTTAAGAATAGCAGTGTAACCCTGTCAAATAACACCAGAATATTTCATATTGAAACATGACAAATAGCACCAAAACATTGTCAGAGATAGTACCAGAAGATGAGCCCCTCTTTGCACATTTTGTTATCCCATCGGAATTTAGAGACCAGTCACCTCAAGAACAGATTTGATACAGTAGACATTAATGCCCAAATACCAGAAAAGTCATGGGATAACATCAAGAACATTATTCAGGAAGAAAGCAAAAGATTATTAAGAAGACAAGAAAGAAGGGAAAGATCAAAATTGTCAGAAGAGACTCTGAAACTTGTTCTCCAGT